GGGAGAAAAAAGGAAGTAAACCAAAGGATGAAGACGGTTCCCTGTCCTCTTGCGCTTTTTCTTTTGGCCTTAATTACCCATTCAACGAGATAAGAACAGACAACAAGAGGAAAACAACATACATGCGACAAACTTTTTTCAGGAGAAGGGAGTCGGATAACAGGTGAAGAACAAGGAAGACATCCATCCTCTCCTCTGCTCTCTTATCTTGCTCTCTTATCTCTCTTCTCTGGCTCTGTTCTTGCCGGAAAGAAAGATGCATGTCCAAGAACCCAAGATCATCTCGTTACCTTCGTCCTCGCTCTCATCTCTTCTCGTGTTTTCTCTGCTCTTTGCTTCTCTTATGGAGGAGAGAATTGCAAACAGTCTCGCGAAGTCAGATTTGGGGCTGCGCGCGCGCCCGTGGGGGTCTCCCACAAACCCCTCGAAAGAAAGAAAGAAAGCGGGCAGCTGTTCGTTGCAATGGGGTCTCGGCTCCCCCTGACCTAGTGCAGGCCTGAGTTCCCTGGGCTCGTCTTCCCCTAGAGCGCGGTTGAGTTCCCTTATTCCTCTTTTGCCTTCATCCCTCCCCTGCGTTCCAACTTTTCTGACAGAACGCACAAGAAAACACGAGGAGGGAATAGCAGATGACAATGATAAGTGCCCACACCCAGTCTCACTGCATTCATCCTCTAATCCTCTCTTCTTTCTCTTCTGTGGTTCTCTCCTTGCAGAATGAAGATTTAAGAACACAAGCCAATCTCACTACATTCATCCTCCCTCTTCCCTCTGCTCTCTCCCTTCTAACTTTTGTTTCTTCTTGTTTTTCTTGTGGAAGAGAGAATGCATAACACGAGATGAGCGAAGCACATGGACGGGAAGAGAAAGAAGCAAGTCTTGTTTGTTCTGAGTTCCTCTGTTCCCTTCCTTTGCATTCTTTAATCCCTCCCCTGCGTTCCAACTTTTCTGTTCCTTCTTTCAAGGAGAAAGAACGGGGCAAATACAAGGGCGAAGACAGTTCCCCTGTCCACTTGCACATGTTCTTTTGGTCTACCCGTTCAGCTAGAAAGGAACAGACAACAGGGGAAAACACAAGGAACTAACAAGAGTGCTTAAGCAAGCGAGATAACAACAAGAAAAAGAAAGAGGAAGCCACGAGCAGAATGTACAAGAAACACACAAGGAAGGAATAACAAATGATAAAAATAAGCGCCCTTACTCAGTCTCACTGCAATCATCCTCCATGTGGTTCTCTTGTTACAGAATGAAGATTTAAGAACACAAACCAATCTCACCACTCATCCTCCCGCTTGTCTCTGCTCTCTCCCTTCTAGCTTTTGTCTCTTCTTGTTTTGCTTATGGAGGAGAGAATAGATGAGCGAAGCACATGGACGGGAAGAGGAGAGAGAAGCAAGTAGTTGTTTGTTGCGTATGGCCCACTCTCCCCCTAGGGCAGGGATGAGTTCCCCTGTTCCCGTCCTTTTGCCTTCTTTAATCTCTCCCCTGCATTCCAACTTTTCCGTTCTTCGTTTAAGGAGAAAGACGGGGGCATATACAAGGACGAAGACGGTTCCCCTGTGCCCCTGTCCAGCATGTGCTTTTGATCTTCCCATTCAGCGAGAAAGGAACAGACAACAAGAGGAAACAACAAACCTTTGACTAACGTGCGGTTCTTTCAGGAGAAAAGGGAGTCGGATAACAGGAGAAGAACAAGGAAGAGATAAACATGAAAATATGTCACTCTTCTATTTACACACTCTCCTCATCTCTCCTCTCTTCCCTTTCTTGCCCGTTGGAGAAGAAAAGAGGAAGAAAATAAACCAAAAAATAAGGGGGAGGCGCCCTGATTCATTCTCACTGCCTTCATCCATCCTCTCCTCTGCTCTCTTATCTTGCTCTCTTATCTCTCTTCTCCGGCTCTGTTCTTGCCGGAAAGAAAGATGAATGTCCAAGGACCCAAGATCATCTCGTTACCTTCGTCCTCGCTCTCATCTCTTCTCGCTTTTTCTCTGCTCTTTGCTTCTCTTATGGAGGAGAGAATTGCAAACAGTCTCGCGAAGTCAGATTTGGGGCTGCGCGCGCGCCCGTAGGGGTCTCCCACAAACCCCTCGAAAGAAAGAAAGAAAGAAAGAAAGCGGGCAGCTGTTCGTTGCAAAGGGGTCTCGGCTCCCCCTGACCTAGTGCAGGCCTGAGTTCCCTGGGCTCGTCTTCCCCTAGAGCGCGGTTGAGTTCCCTTATTCCTCAATTTTTGCCTTCATCCCTCCCCTGCGTTCCAACTTTTCTGAGCAGAACGCACAAGAAAACACGAGGAGGGAATAACAGATGACAAAAATAAGTGCCCACACCCAGTCTCACTGCACTCATCCTCTAATCCTCTCTTCTTTCTCTTCTGTGGTTCTCTTCTTGCAGAATGAAGAACACAAACCAATTTCACTTCACTCATCCTCCCTCTTCCCTCTGCTCTCTCCCTTCTAACTTTTGTCCCTTCTTGTTTTTCTTGTGGAAGAGAGAATGCATAACA